TTCCCACGTGTCCTGTCACTGGATACCTGTGAGAAGAGCTCAGCACCTCCCTCTCCACATCCCGTCCTCAGGAAGCTGTAGAGAGCAATGAGGTTGCCCCTCAGCCTCCTTTCCTCCACACTAGGCAAGCCCAAAGTCCTTGGCCGCTCCTCATAGGACATTCCTTCCAGCCCTTTCAACAGCTTTGTTGCCCTCCTTCTAAGGCATATGCTCTCTATTACATTTTAGACACCAATATTAAATTGATTTTAATAAATTATTCAGCTCTCACGTGGCCACCTACTGATTCAAGAAAATGGACAGTGAGTAGTGGAAGCGAATATTCTTGCAAACTTGAACCAGTGCTAGAAATACACAGGAACTTTCTACAGGCAAAGTATTAGGTATACAGCTCCAGTGCACATTGTTTTCTTGTTTCATTCCTTTGTATAGTGATACTTTCAGAGCAGAGGACTTCAATCAAAACATGTCAGTTTTAGCTAGTCATCTTTGAAGATCAGAATACAAAGGACAAAGGTATAAACCCTATTGGTTTACACCAATAAAAATTTGGGCAGGGGGGGAAAAAAAAAAAAAATCTCAAATCCCACATGAAGTAGGGGAAAAAGAAATCTAGTTTTAATTACCAGAGCCACATCTTAAGGCAACAACTGCAGCTAAGAAAACATCCAGTATTTCCACAGGAGATGGTAACAGATTACTTTTAAGGATTTAGACATAGCAAACCTCTCAAAATGCTGTTATATTCTAAAACAGTGCTTGCTTCTAGATGCTCTAGATGCTCTAAAGTATCTAGAAACTAGATTTTCTTTACGCTCATTCAAACCTCAGTTTTATTAACGAAATAACTGATCTTCAAAAAACCCCTAAAAATACTTTAACCCATAGGTCAAGCACAGCAAGGCATGCTTGCTCCCCAGGCATAAGATCCATGTTGTGAAGTCAAAAAAGAAAGAATTATTTCCTCTTTCCACACAGGTAAACAAAGGTTCATACCAACTTTTAATGACTTCCTAATGGCCATTCATTAAGCCTGGGAGATCTTTGTGCCAAACTAAGATCTTCTGTCTCTCAGTTCAGTGGTTTAGTCACAGAGCTGCCCTCTGTGCTTATCAGGACATGACAGCTGGTAGCTCTAAATATACTCACGGGGTGGGATGGGTAACAGAAGACTCATGCTCACGCAAACTCTTCTGGATACAGTTTTCAGAAGTTCAACATCAGAAAACACATTTTACAAAGACTAACACTAAAACCCCTGAGGGGGAAAAAACAGGAGGGAGGAAGACCTTTCTATTCTCTTCCTGAGCTTATCTGCTGACTTACACGGTAACAGAGAGGGGGAGAGAGGCCTCTGTTGGTCTCAGAAAGCTTCCCACAGGCTGTTTTAATGCAAAAAAAAAAAAAAAAAAAAAAAAAAATTACAAATGACTATACATTTCCATAGCAAAGATATACTGGATAATCCATTCCTATCGTGATTTCTTTCACAACCTCAAGGCTAGACACACTCTAACAGGCAGAAACATCCAGTTCTGCTGTTATCCATCTCCTAATTATTAATGTAACTTTTAATTAGAGACAGGTTTACCTGTTTAGTATTCCTGTAGAGCTTATGAAATTTACACACTGAAATTTTCAGTAACTTTTCATGTCCTTCAACGCTGGCAGAACAATACAAATGGACATAAATACACAAGAATTGTTTTCAAAATAAAATTAATGTTTAATATGTTATTAGGTTTGTGGTGCTTCTCATTTCTCCTATGGGAATCAGTAGCAAGTCTCCCTGAAACTAGGCAAAGATGCTTGGAGTAACAGCAGTGATTTTACACCTGGGCATATACTTGCATTTTACAGTTCTGTAACTCAGCACTAACATATTACAAAAACCAAATGCCAGGATGATGAAAATGAGAGAAAGCTCATGTCAGAGCAATACCTGATTACAATAAGCCATTTTAACATGTTTCAAGCACTTCTTTTAAGAATAACATATTGCAATGCCAGAACCGACCGTTTTGAGGCACTCGGCAGATTTCTCTGTGTCCATTTTTACAGTGAGTTCTGTCAAATCCATTAAACGCCTGTGTTTTTATTAACCTAGGGTTTCTTTTTGTGTCATGAGGCACTCATATGATGGGTAGTGCGAGAGATTTGGAACAAATGAAAACACACATGGGCAAGCATCCTGCATTTACCTCTCATTAAAGAAGAAAAAAAAAACACCAGGATTCTAAACCACTGCTTAAAAACAGAAACAAAGAATAAAGGAAAAAACTTATGTCTGAGCTAGAAGCTGAATGCTCCAAGTAAACACAGGAAGGAAGCACTTTGCACTTTTATTTTGGGGAGTTTCTTGGTTGTTTACTGTTTATTTTACATATGTTTTTAAAAAGGAGACTGTATTAAAATACAATCTTACACTTCATACTGAATCTCCCTTTGAAGATCAAATACTTGGAAGTGCCAGCAAGTAGCATCTTGTTTCCAATTATCCACTCACCACATATCAAAAACTCCTGCCAAGTCATAGTTCTATTTGAATATATGGACACCAAAATAATCATAATGATAACAATAGATGTGGTTTAAAAAAAGCTTATTTAAAACAGTCTAAGCATAGGTAAATAAAACAATCAAAAGCTACCAGTACCTTTCTAGCAGACAAGAAAAATACAAGAAAAACCTGGAAAGGGTTATTTTAAGACACAGTAGTGTAAAAATGGTGAAAATGGAGATCTCTTTTCAGGTGCCTTTTAAGAAAAAAGAATGGAAGAAAACAAGCGCACTTTCAAAACCTTGTATGCCAAGTTTTAGCCCAGAGCAAGTTTTCACTGCTACGTTACAAACCCTTGAAAATAAAGGTTTATAATGAAAACGCTGACAGACCCTTAACCATAGCAGCATGAATAGCTATAATTAAAAGAAGAGCTTTTGGCTACATCTCACTCTGCAAATGAAAGATTGCCATTTTTACAGTATCCTCAAATAAAAGCAGCTGGGAAACCAGGAACGTGATTCTAGCAATCCAACGAGACATGTTAGAGGGGACTGCTAAAACTATTTGACATTTTAAGCTTTAAATACTGAGGCATTTAGTTAACATAACCAAGTCAGTATTTTCATAATGCTACTTAATCAGCAATAAAGAATGCTCCTGTGAGCCATCATCTGGGGTTAGCAGAAAGTGGCACATGAAGTTATTATTTCCTAACAGCCTAGAGGGAGCCACTTCTCTCTTTAATCAGTGATCTCACTTCCTTCCTACCTGTAAATTCCCTGTCATACAGTTATAAAATTATTAGAGTGCAGCGTACAGAAAAATTACGTTTATGGAAAGCCTGCTATCTTATATCTGCCTGGGTCTTAAAAACAGGAGAGAGAATGGCATTGAACTATTTCATGCTTTTCCGAGTTTGCAGACAGACCAGGCCTAATCAGTCTGGTTACACCAGTAATAATTTAACATCTGGCTGGCACAAAGTCACCCACATCTTCTCAAGAAATAAACTCCTTTTAGTATTGGTTTACTCATATGACAACAGAAGACTATTTTCAGTGATTCTGTCAAAGTGGGAGAGGGAAGCAGTAACATTTTCCTGTTCCATACAACATGAAGATCACAGCATTTTATAAACGTTAAGGAATTAAGCCTCTCTGTTGATGGGATAAATAGGCAGATAACAGTAACCAAATGTATAAATACAGAACCTGAAATAAAGAAGAGTTAATAACAAGGCTCTAATAATCTCTCATACCAATTAGTATTTGAGCACATTGGTAATTCAAATGTTTCAGCAGACCTGCTTTTTGTAAAAAAAGGTACAAATAGAGTCCTGTATCCTGTCCATGACAGTCTGAGAAATCTGTTATGAACGTCTATGCCCTCCTCTCTGTGTTACAAGAGGACCACATAACTCCCAGTTCTGGAAAGCTTCAGAACACCACCACATTATAAAAAAGGCAACTTTTACACCAGTCTCAAATTTCTCCCTATTTAATCTTTAAAAACCACACAACAAATGCTGTGTATTAGCTAATGGAGAGAACGTCAAAGTATTCTTGAAGTCTCCAATTTATTCCAGTAAATACATGCAGTTGAACTGAAATAATAAATAATAAATCAACTAAACTTAGTTTTGTGCTTCATCTTTTTTCAAAAGACTTGCCTGAAAAACAGTTGTCTTTGGATGTATAAGCTATTGACAGCTGCAGTCAAACTACTAGACAGTAACAAAGAACCTAGTTAAGGAGAGTTCTCGTATATGGGCCTGACTATTCCTATTATGCACTCTTCCGCAGCTCTTTCCACATATTTCAGTCTTGCACATTTGAAGTAATGGCAGATCAATAGCTGCCTCTTAATATCTTATAAAAAAAAGACAGTTTGGGCTTCAAACCGGAGGACTACCTCTGAAAGGCATCAGTAGACAAAAATATGCTTATTGAAGGGCAATCTGGATGTTGAAAACTGAACTAATACATCAAAGCAAAACTGCTTGAAAGTGGTAAAATATGATTTCTTTCTTTGCTATTGAACCCCAAACAAGTATTTAAATCTCCATACCTGTTGTATTTGATTGCAACCTTGGTGAAAGAGAAAAAAAATAGAAGAGTCTGAAAAATAGAATAGATTCACTAAAGAAAAAAAAAAAAACCACAAACACCAAAACCACCTAACTTAAGTAATTTAGTGCAGACAATAACTTTGAAGTTTCCTGTGCCAAAAGAAAGATGGGTGACTTTCTACAGAGCCACTAATTCATAACAAAACATCAGGGAAGTCAAACCTAATGTCCTGAAATAGTAAGGAAATATTTCTAAGATTCTAAATGCAGTGAGGTTTTGGTGGATTTTGAAATTTAACATAACATAGTCCTCCAGAGATTTCTTTCCTTTTACTCTATTCCAGTAAGAAATTAATATGAACTACAGTTTAACCCTAAACACAAAACCAACATGCCAGTTGATATCCGCAATTTAACTAAATAACTTACCGAAGTCTGGCTAGAACAACCTGAAGAAAATTTAGGACCATACTCAGTTCAGCTCCTCGACAAGCAGGCAGCAGCATAGTAAAGCCATCATTTAGCAACTTTTCCTCAGAAAGGCTCAAGTAGCAGCTGGTCTCAAACACTTCTTGGACACCATCAATGTAGGTTGAAAGTAGAGTCCAGAGATTTTGTTTCTGTGTGTAGTCATTTTTGGTTACTAAAAACTCCTTTGCCTTCTCACGGAAAGAATTTGAGAGTTTCTCAGCTAGGACACTAATGTCCATGTTCTTCTCAACGTAAATCAAAAGGAAAGCAAAATGGCCTCTCCAGATAAGAGCTCTCTGAGACACAGTGATGGAAGATGGAGTCAGGAAATCCAGAAGATCCAACACTCGACTCACTATATCTTCTGTCTCTGCAACAATTGCCAGCATGAGGAACAGGTTAAAAAAGTTCTGCAGCCCCACTTCTGTCAGCTCCCGCATTCTTCTCCGATGGAATTTGGAATAAATTCTACATTAAAAAAAACCAAATCAGACAAACCAGGAAACAGAAAGTTTCTTAAAGAATGCAGTTTTCTGTTTGATACACTAAATTTATATTTTCTTGCTTTTAGTCTACAGTTATCCTCTTCCAATAACCCTTCATTTTTAAATATCCTCTTTTCCCTCCCCTCTTCTACTCTTTTGACTAGTGGAACAAACATGCTGTTTCATTTTCTGCTGCCAACACAAGGTACGCATTAAGAGTCTTCAACGCCAGGTACAGCCTATTTCTCCCTTATCCAACCTCTAGTATGAAGTTGAGCACAATTATATGAGCAGGTTCTTTGGCTGTGACAGGTGTCCTCTATACCATGCCTTCACATCAATCAAATTTAGCCCACGGGGGCTGCTAGGAAAAGAAGTTGCCAAGGGGCATCTCTTGGCAACAGCAAACAATTCCTGTACCCCAACTTCTTCCCTAGAAACTCCCCTCATTTCCATGTGGCACAAAGAAAATTCCAAAGAGACCAGGCACCCTCCTTCCTTTAGCTGCTGATTTCTGTTCTTATGTTACACTCCCATAGCTGCTGGAGATCAAAGGCTCACCTACGAAACCATCACTGCAGTAAAACAGAAACACGTATTTCTGATGGAAAGCTCCTTTTTTCCACAGTGCTTCACCAAAGTCTGCACTGACCTGTATTGCACACCTACTGTATGGTCTACGGACTACAAGTTTGGAAGAAAACAGGGAAACTGAGGCATTTGGGAGAGAAACCTCTCTCCAACAGAAAGATATTAAGAAACTTTAAGCTTTACTGCTTATATGACAGTGCTCAAGTCATACATAGCTGATGGTGAGAAGCACTCCTACTTTGCAACTTTAAAGTGGTTGACAAAAAGCAGAAGACTTTTACATAGGTGTGACCTGTGACCTTCACTTGGATCTGGACTTTTAAATAAGTGTCACCATTCCTACAACAGAGGAATAAAATGAAAATGGCTTGCTTAACTTTTTGATTTGTGTGTTTAAAACCTCGGGTATTATCGTTCACCTTTAAGTTAAAGTTCCACATACAGTAGTTAAACATCCATAAATGCTGGTTTCCTATTCTGTCACCTGGAAAAATAGTTGGAAATGGTGCTGAGGTTATCAAATCTAGCCACCAAAAATTACAGCAAATCCAATTAATGTTGTTTAGTAGTAAATTACTACTGACAGGCGTTTACGTTCTTCATGCATCAATTAACGCTTGGTTAGCTGCTGAAAACAGAGTTCATCCCAAAATCGTAGCTGTAGGCTGTTAAATTTTGCTACTTGTGTAATTGATTTATTCAAGGTAGAACTGATGAATACTGGTTGAGCAGACTGACACAGTGTATGTTGTGTATTATTATTCCCCCTCTTAAATTAGGGAAAGTAACAAGCTATAATAGCACAAAAATGTAACTATAATTTGTTTTCAGTAAAAACAGAGCAGGCTAATTAAAATCACTAACTAAAGCGAGACACTGTTTCAGCATCCAACAACATATTTGTTTCTATGTAGTTGTAATTTTAAACTTGAACTTTTACTGACTGTAACCACTCATGAAGTATACATCGACATCAGATATAGCTTCCCTTTCTGATAGCCGAGATAACCCACTCTTCTTTCTTGGAAGAAACATACCACATAGCTTTGTAAGGTATGCATACACATGTGCATTTTTATATATTTATTACTTGCATACAAAAATATTTTATTAATATGTGATAAATTTTAAATTTTATTAATAAAATCTTTTTTTAAAAGTCAAACCTAAAAAACCCCCAAACTATGACTTGTATATCCGATGAAAAAAATGTTAAAATGTTAGTATCTTTAACGATCACTACAATCTCGTTACTATAATAAAAGTTTTAAGGATTTAGTAAGTATATAAAACATCAAGATTTTGATTTAGAGCATATATATTTTATGGGGTTTTTTTAATATCATGACTGACCATACCTCTAAATTAGTATGTTTCAAAATCACATGAAAAATTAAAACCCTCACAAAAAATATTGTGAGAAATTTTGGAAACCATGAAAAAGAAAATGGAAACATAAATGAAATCGCAGGCCTAGCCAGAACCAGGCTGCATGTTCTTGGACAACACATGGCTTACATGCAGCTCAAACAGAATTTCTGCACTTTAATTACATTACCTGTCTGGCAATAGGGTTGTATTACTGCATAGGTTGCCAGTGTACCAAACTCCTGGCTTCTGGGACGAAGTAGATGATCACAGGCCACAGATGCCAAGGTGATTCTTGGACCCAGCTCTTGGACTTGGTCACAGCTGGCAACTGAAACTTCAGGGAACAACTGCCTTCTTCAAATTATGAATCCCCTTGGTTCCCTCACCCCCTTTACTTCCTCATGAGCATGGTACCCGCCCGACTGGAAGGGCAACACAGTCTGACTGACTAAACCTCTTACAATATGAGACAAACTAAATAGCAGCCATACCGTCCTTTAATTTGTTTCCAAGGATGCACATCACTGTTCTGTGCCTCTTCTTTCATCATCCGTGCCAAAATGCTGAGAAAAATGAAGTAACTGTTGCTGGACTTGTAAAGGGTGGGGATCTGCTGTTCACAACAGCAACTTTTCACCAACTCAAGCATTGACAAAGAAGTTTTACTGATATTTGCCAGACCCTTGAGACCAAGCCAAGGAACAGTAAAGCAGCTGTTCTAAAAAAGTAAATGAAACCAGAAAAGATGATAAGTAACAATAAATGTTAGTATGCCAAAGGCAGTAAGATGCAATCCTTCACACAAAAAGACATGTTCCTACCACAACTCAAAAAATAAAAATGCATTGTAACTATGTGCAAAGTGGTTTTACAAGATCTTAAAATCAGTAGTCCTGATGAAAAATAAGAATAAAACCATAATTCATTCTATTGTGACATAACATAATGGACCATAATATATATTTAAATGTGATTTCTTAAATAAAGATAGCAAATTTAGGGATACTGTCACTGACTAGTCAGATTTACAAAAGCGTACCAATCAAGCTTGGCTAGAGAAGAATCAGAATTAAATGCTAAAAAAAAAAAAAAAAAAAAAAAAAATTGAGGACCATCCACATACAATTCTACATTTCTATATGTTCATCTACTTACCAGGTTCTTGCTGTAATAATCCCAGAGTATGGTGACAATAGATAGGTTCAAGTCCCAGAAACTACACAAACTCAAACAGCACTGAAGATGCATTCGTAAGTGTTCCTCTAACACACCAGTCTTGAAAAAGGAATAAAAAGTTTACTGTAGGAGAGGAACATCACCTTGTCTACACATAAGCCCAATACTACCAGACTATTAAGAATAATTTCTTAATATAAAAAAATAGTTTTAATTATATAATGCTGAGTAAATTCATCTGCTAATATGAGCAATGAACTAGAAGATAAAAGCTGACAACTGCATCTTGCAATCCAGCCAATACAACTGTTCATCATGCACCATTTCAGGCATCCACAGAGCTGTAGACACATTAAGATAACAGCCAACTCAATATTGTGACCCTAAAGTTGAAACATGACTACATGGTACAGAACCTCACAACACAGTAAATGGGGCATTAGCTATACTAAATGTATGAATCAGCTGAATGATTATGCCCTTCTGTCGTGTAAGTCCAAAGTAAAGCTCGTTCACCACAGATAGAGAGGGAAGGTGCAACTATCTGAGCACTCATGTTTCTCTTCATAATATTCCAAACAGGAGGATCTTTTCTTTCTGAATCATGTTCCTTCTCAAACCTCTGCAACATGGCTATACCACTAACATCCCAGACAATTCTAAATCAAGGGCAAGTAAGTCTCTGAACACTGGGGGGGGGCGGGGGGGGAAACTAGGCCAAAAATTTCCCACCCCACCCTTTTTGTATTCATCAGTTCCAAATTTTGCATGCAAAATGAAAGTGGCTCATAAGAAAGAAAATAGGAAATTCCAAACAATTTGAACACAGTGAAGTATTCAGGTTGTAACTGTGGGATACTGAAGAGTGGGATTGACCTCATTCAGCTTTTGATGTCAGCAAAACTGGACTTGCACTGGAGCGAGGATATTAGGAGCTCCATGCCCAGACTGAAATCACATGTTAAATCCAGTAGACATCTACTTTAGGATGATAAGTATAGGATAAGCCCTGGAAAGGCTTTATTAATAATCTCCACTGACTATAAAAGTGGTTTAGTGGACCAGCTTGTGTGTGGTTGTCTTAAGGGAAGACTTCTACACATGTAAGTCTAACGCACCTCTGGGATCGTAGTGAACCTGTTCTGTGACAAGAGAAACCCCTGACCTACTTCTAGCTTTCAAATACATCTAAACACTATACAGGCCTGGAATTTCTAACAGCATAGAATAAGCTGAAGTAGAATAAAAGGGGTAAGAAAAACAAAGATACAGGATGAGTTTTATGACTCAAAATCACAGCCCTAGGAAGGGGAATGAAGGAAACCATTCCTCAGATAAATATTGGGATGTTAACCCCTTCAGTTCCAATTACAGTGCTAGGTCCTGAATTATGTCCCAACTCACCCAGCTCAGAAAATGCTTAAATTAAAAAAATCCCTGATGCTAAGTGATGTAAAGACACAGCATTAGGTTGTGTTCGGTTTTGTTGGTTTGTTTGGGGAGGTTGGTTGGTTGTTGTTGTTTTAGAATAGTCTTTCATTAAGTACCTGTTAGTGGAAGAGCAGGACTTCTGCTCTTACCCACAATGCTACTTCTTAGGGCTTACTAAGTCTCAGAGCTGCCTTTTTTTTCCCCCCCCCCCGTTTTCAATGCTACACAAAGGAATTATAATTCATTAACTTACCTCTACCTGGCTATACATTTATATAGAAAACATGATTTGCTACACTTTATCAGAATGCTGTAAAGAATTACACCACTCATCTACAATAACTTCTAATCATGTCTGCCTTCTCATGAACAATTAATGTAGGGCAGGTGGCTTCTAAAGTAATATATTTCTAAAACAACTTGAAAATTGAAAAGGCATTTTCAGTTGTCATAGAAAATTATATATTCAAGACATTATGTATAACAACATACAAAAAACACTGAAATAGAAAAGAAAATCTTCAAGAGAGACTCATTAAAAGACGCACAGAATAACAGTTCAAATATAATAGAAATTCCTACAAATGAAAGGTGATCCTCAAGTATTGTTTTTATACACGACATTAACTGTAGCTATTAAATCAGTAGTCTTCCCAAAACAACAATCTCAAACAAAAAAAACAAGGGATAGCAATGCAGCCATTTTCAACAGCTGCTTTTTTGTGTGTGTGTGTGTGTATATATATATATATGAATAAAAGCAAGAGTCTTGATATAAACCAAAAACCTGCAGCTGAACATACCTGTTTCTCTAGAGAGATCTATCCAGTTATGGAAAATGTGAAAAAACCCCAAACCAAAACACATACCACACCAAACACACACACCCTTTAGAAAAAGCTATAATTTATGCATGGGAATATGTTTAGGATCTAATCCAACAAACAATGACTGCTTCAGTTAAATTAATTCAACAATAAACATGGTATTGTGAGCAGCTTCAATTTCAACCATTATTTATCTGTCCAACAATAGTTTTAGAACAGTTTCCAAAACCAAGATAGTAATGAAGGCTTTATCGCAAATTTAATATGAAAGAGTTCTCCAGACTTCAAATATTGCTGGGATTAATGGATTCTCTCATTGCTCTTTTGCTTAAAATGGTCTCTTGCACTGCTGGAAATACTATCAGAACTCTTGAGGTAGTCAGCTTTTAATTTATCGCAGAAGGGAGGAACACCAGATACTATCAAAATGATAGTACTATCTAAACACAACATTTTTCTCTTATGACCTCCTACTGTAGCAACAAAATTGGTTTCCTAGAACTCCAACAAATACTTCTGTATCTCTTTTAGAGTAGAATTAAACAAAAATATAGTGAAGGTATAACAAAATTGAGGCAGAAATGAAACAACATGAAGCATTTATTTTCTAAAATGGGAGATGGCTAATAAGACAGACTGCTATTAGTTCTTACAAACAAAAAAGCTTTTGATTCCCACTTACAATAAAACTTTGTAAACACAAATTCATCTTATACTGACAATCCATAAATTTAGTCAGTTTGATGTTGCCTGGTATACAAATACAGCTATGTTAATATTCCTAGTACAACAATTTTAATTTTGTACTACAAATAGAATTGTAAACCAGCTCTGCTTTTGTCATTAGCCCAGTAACAGAAATCCAGATTACAACAGAAGTAGGGAATACCTCATGTATCTAGTTTCCCCATAAGTACCCTTTTTTGTGATACAGATGGGCGATCTTTCACACGAGCAATTGTCTTCAACTCTATCCATCAAGAATTAAAAAAAAAAAAAAAAAAAAAAAAGCAGTTTCTGGCCAAGAAACTCACCAGTCAGTCAACCATTTGAAGCTGAAAGGAAATACCCAATGAAGCAGCACTCTACACTTGCCCAGGTATCCATTATTGCTCCTATCTTTATTTACAGCTCACAAATAAGAGTATTTTTGCTTCCCAGGTCCATTGATCCCCTAACCTGAACAGCACCTTCATGTCTCTTCCTTGCTCAGAAGCAGGCTGACTATACCCTTAAAAAGAAGGAGTTACTACCTGGAGACAGGGCACTGCAGCACCCCTCTGCCACATCCACCTGGACATGGGACACCTTCCTCAGGAAGTCTTAATCACCCCCACAGTCAGGCATATGCCGGAAGAAGGTGGCTCAGGCTCTCTGCTAACTGCATGAGAGCTGCTTTCTCTCTGCTGGGGATCACTAAACTCAACAGTTTTACTGAAACTACCAAAATGCTTCAGGTTTAATGCTGGTTAGTCATTTTTGCATCCCAACACTTAGCTGTGCTAAGGATGTTAAAGATAACTCCAGCTTCTTCCAGTCATCATCAAAGGTGACCATTCTTTTCCCTACTTTCACAACGCTCCCTTACCCTCAAAATCCATGTCTGCAACAGTGCCTATTAAATCATCTTTTCACAACACAGAAATTGAACCTCATATGAAGAAAAATTAACAGTTGCTGGTAGGAGAGAGATTATCACTTTACATTACAAATGTGTGATCTGCACCTTTTTCAGATGCTTCTGAACACACCAAACTATGCATACTTGATTTCATCTCCATTTCTCCCCCATCCTTTGCATATTCCCATTCTCCTTCCAAACACGTATAGTCTACAAGTTTTCAAGTTCAGAAGCAACAAGCACAAGTGGATTATGGCATTGACAGACATACTATGGACTAAAAATTATTAATTTTTAAGCTGCCATATACATAAAAATGAAGTTTCTAACCACCAATACCTGCCCTCTCTTGCAAATGAGTGGTTTGGCACTATCATTTCTTCTAACTTATTTTGCACAGCTATTACAGTGCCATCTCTAGTACAGATAACAGAGGGTATATGCTGAAAAGGATGGCTCAGGTAGGATTTACTAACAAACTCAAGTTTGACTATCATCAGTACTGTCCTGTTGTTCATTCAAAGACCAGTATTCTCCCTTTTGTTTTTTCCTGCTTCTCCATGTTCCATTTCATTAGTGACTTCTTGATATCAAACTGTGCTTCTCATTCCTACATTTTCTGGTCTCAAAAATACTCAGCAGATACTTCAGAGATGCAAAAGGGCAAGATAAAAGGTAAAAGTGGCCACATGAAGCTGACAGATCAACAGAAGAAATGGACATGTCTACTGGTAAAAGAAAACCTTTCTAGACACTGTCAAGAAGGCTGGTGTGAAGGGATAGGAAGCAGGATGCGTTCTTTAATAAAAGTACCTACGTGCACTTCTGCATGCACATACAGGGACTAATGCTTTTCAAGTAGAATTTCCTACAAGCAGCTAACTCCATAATGCAAGAAAAAAAAAAAAAGACAAATTACAAAAAAAGGAAATAAACTCGATGGCTCCTTAGATGTTTGGTAATAGTTGCAAACATACTCTTGGCAAATGAGGGTTTGTTTTAATTCCAACAGCAGTTGCCTTTGGAAATTAAAACAGGTATCTGCCTCATATTACTGTGTCATGACTGACTCCTTGTTCAAATCTTCTGAAATTGGCCACCTAACTGCCTTTCGAAACTGACTACTGTTCAATATTTGTTTAACAGAAGCATCAAAAAGCTGTATATTTTATGTATATTCAACTTCAGAGTAATCTTTATTCAAAATAACAAGCATTCAAAAGAGGAGTATTTTGAAGAAAAGTGTAACTACAAGCATCCTCTTACTGTTTCTCAGTTGCTGACACACAAGATGCAACATGGGAAGGTGGCTAATAAGCTACTCACAGGTTTTATGCCTCTTATCTAAATCCCTCCAGTTTCTCTCACAGAATGGCCAGCATCCAATAAGTGATGTCATCACTGTAGTTTTAATGTATACGCACAGTGCATGTACTCAGTTATATACTGCAAAATCATTCAAAAAGTTACCCTTTTAAGCTGAAAGACTACATAAACAAATGTTAAGAGTTCATGTATACCATGATTTTTCAACTTTTTAACACCTTATCTATTGTTTCAACTATCCTAACAACTACAAACTATCTTTTTGTAAAAACTGTGGCTGTAACAAGTGTTATGTGCTCCAGCTTCAACCACAGCTGTTGCTACTGCATGAGCAAGGCAGTAATAATAATCATAAAAAAAGAACTGATTCCTCTTCTGCTTTCAACAACAGAACTTTGTGGGATTTTTATTTCATCTGAGACCAAATACAAAACCAAACATGTTTATTCTCATCTTAAGCATACACAAATTAAAGAAATTATTTTTATAAGTGTTACTGATAGAGCATTTGCAATTTGTACCATGCAACTTCAGAACAAATTTACAAAGCTGCAACGTAACATATTTAAAAACATGATGAACAGCATATTTAAAAGAATTTTAAAAGGAGGTCAATTCTGACCTCTGGGCCATGAAGCATTGCATTAACAGTTCTGCAGAAAGAAAAATGATAAGGTATGAAATGAGTACTGAGAAACTAGAACCTTATCAGTAAGAGTTTGATTCAAGCCTGTAAGACAAATTGCTCAGCAAGGCAAGTCACCTTCCTGCTGTGATGAGGATATAGCTGAATTTTCAATGCAACTGAGTATCTCCTTCATCATGTCTCCTCAACTTGATATCCTTACATTCAGTATCTGGTTTACATTTTCTAAGCATCCAGTTCTTATTCTGAATACATCTTGTCTGAGTAGCCATATACCTACCCCTCCATGATAGTTATCTTTTTCCTTTAGCTGACAATTCAGCATCAAGCACAACCACTTTAAAGCAAGTGTAACTGCTAACAAGGAAGGAACTGTATACTGCCATAGTTCAGCTACGTCAAGGATGTTCATTTATCTGTGATAAAAACACTAGAATTCCAAAAATACACTTGTTAGTTGGACTTTGTTTCATGCACTGTCTTTTCCTGAAAGCATCCCTGACATTTTCCTTGGTTGTTATTTCTTCCTTTACACACTTACTTGAGCATCAGTGGATTTTTTAAGGAGTTCTTCCACAAATTTCCAATTGGATTCCTTCTGCCTCTGAAAAATAACGATTATCAGCATGAAATAGCATTTGTATTCCTCACAGGAATCATTATGTACTAACATGACAATAAGTAGGCAAGATATTTCCAGAAATATTTCATTTCATGACAGCATATTGTAGTCATCACTGAAAAAAGCTTTTTAGTTTTATGAATGTAATTGATATCTGTCTTTAAAATTAGGCCTCAAAAACAAATAAAGAGCCGAAAATAAGAGTACGCAATATAAACTGGTTTAAGTGACTCATTTGCAATCTCAACCTTCACTTTTAGTAAAGAAACAAAACATTCAGGCATTTTTGATTAGTATGAGCAGTAAGTGTGTGTCTTACAATTTATTTCTTTAACATTCTGTAAAAAGGAAGATACAAAGGGTAAGAAGGAAGAAAAGGTACAATCTCACCTTTTCTTGTTTTTTTTCCTTTCCAATGAAAAAAACCCCACTACTAACTCATTTTTCCCAGGCCAAACATTAAGGATTGTTTTGGCCAATTTGGTAAGGAATTGGCCAGATAGTAATGGCCTATATAGGTAGAAAAAAAATACAGGGTAGGTCAAATATGGCCCACAATTCATATTCTTCAGCTTGGGAAGACAGATGACTACCCATTTGAATCAATTAGACCATGGTACTGAAGTAAGAGAGTTGCATGGCAAAGTATATTGAAAAGGAAGATGAAAAAAAATCCATATTTATGCAAAGTGGGAAAGAAAAGGATAGAAGATTTTGCAACTAAGGCTAGTTTCTTTCCCCAGGAAAAAAAAGTAGAAGGCGACTAAGCCAACATACTTACAATTCCAGGAGGTCCAAAAATCATCTCTTACACTCAGCCATGTATATAGCTTGTGTAGATAACTAGATGTGTGAATGTAGTACTTCCATCATTGACCTGCCTTACTCATTCCCTCCACTATCACAACTGTTAAGACTTGTAAATTATTCTGCAGATATCTGTCCTTTAAATGTCTGTATAGAACTTACAATAAAGGGCATCTTATGCTTTGGTAATTGAAATATACCTACTTTCCAGCAGCAACACCATCATGCCTTATCCTCCTCTGCTACTGACTACACTACTTAATGCTGTGACTTGGTCACAATTCCACACAGAACTCCAGAGAGTACTCAGAGAATTTTAAAGATGAACTCTTTAAAAAGATGCAGTATCATTTGTGTTACACAGTTTGACTATGTGGTGGCTTTACTTTTTTGCATGACAAGAAAATGAGAATTCTGAAAGACTGCCGATGGTAGCAAGTCGCAGTCTGTAGACTACGGAACAAATATGAATGAAAAGACAGATCTGCAGAAAGTTACACTAAAGCTGTGATTTCGTGATGCAGAAATTTGCACAGTATCAATTAAGGAGTTCCCACTGCTTCTCCTCATCCTGCCAGCTGCAATTCCTGCCCTCACAGCTGTATCATGCCACTGCTCAGTTGTTCTGGTACTTCTCTTTGTGGGCCACAGTGTGAACCAGATCAGTGAACCAACCCAGAGCTTTAGGAAAGAAAGAATGAAAAAGGTAGGAGGGCCTGACTTAGGTCATAGAATAGGGACACAAATAATTGTGCCAGAACAGCAGAGGCCATATCATGCCTAGGGTGGTAAACAGGGCTTCTTAAGCTGCTATTGATACCAAAGCCCAAGCTAGCATCCTGTCAGAGAGGCCACTGCATGAACAAATAGCCAAGGAGTAAAAGCAGCACTTCAATAATGAGTAAAAACCCAGGAAGTACACCATCAGTGTTCCCAGACAGTTCTGGCTACTTACTATTTACATCAGATTTTTATTTTGACTGCTGTATTTAGAGCTGGATGTTATATGAATACCTACTCACTGGCATGGTCCTACTGCAGACTCCAAGTAAAGGTAATCAACTGGACAAAAGCCAGATTTATCAGAGAGAAATTATTAGAGAGTCATGCTAATGGCTATGAGACCTCTGAATGTCTGGATCAGCCTGCTCAGAACATGCTTTTAGCACTCCCACAGACCAAGGACACATGATTTATACAAAAGGTGTTTATTGCCAGTGTTCCAGCTCATCTACAGTGTGCAGATCACCTTACAAGATCCTGGAGTAATCTAGGGCAAACTCCTGACACCAACCGGAATTGAGTACAAGAGTGCACCCAGGTTCAGCTCAAAGGAAAGCTCAGGACATAATGACACCAAGCACCTGCTGCACTTTTTTTTTTTTAGCCTCAACTGTCTCTATCTTTTAACAGACTTGTTTCATTCAAATCCCACTAAATTTACATCCTAACAGTATTCCCTGCTACACTGGCAATACGGCATGGCAACCGTTTACAATCCATCCTTTTCAGAGAATACTTAAAATCTACATCTCTTACTCCAAACCTGCCGGCTTACAACATCCTCCCTCCACTCCCAAAGAGTCCTAAAAATCAACAGAACCTGGAGACCTTACAGTGCATAAAAGTGCTGCTAAAACCAAAAACTTGAGCTGACACCCTCTGGGTTCGCAGGAAGAAACTGTTGCAAGGACAAACTGCTGACTACCTGGAATAGCGGTACTAGGCTTCTCAGCTGGAAGTCCATGTTTGCATATCTTGCCAGGTAGTCATTTCAGATTATTCTATTCAAAGGCAAGAATTCTTAGCCCCAAGGAATTCTGCCTATATTTCCCTAGCCCACAGTATATTGAAACTGACCCCTGCAATGTTCAGAAGTAGCAAATTTTCTCATCAGGTCCCATTTGGTTTTTAAATGTACAAATCCTGCTTTTCAGAAGAGTGAAGTGGGACCTGAGTGGGGGGTTATGGAAAGAGACATGTACTGTACATCCCTCAGAATGGAGTCTCCAAGAAACCTGGCCAAAATTTTCCAGTTTAAAAAAATGGTTTCATGCATATAAAATATATATTCAATATATATGAATCATTGCACGTTTGAAATTACGTTATATGAGCTAAAGGGGAAAAAATAAAAAGAAGGAAGCCTGAAACCTATTTAGAATTTTAAAAGCTTTCATAATAACCTCAAGGCCATGCAGACCACATTAAAAAATTGAAAATCTTCCACAGATGACATAGGCTTAGAGGCAATTTTTGCTACAGAGCACATGAATAACCATCATTATGACACATCACCCTCCCACCTCTGATCATAGTTAATTAAAAGAAAGCATGTGTCATGAAGCTATTGCGCATCAGACGTTTAACCAACAAAACAGGACTATGCTGCACGGTGATGTAATTCCACTGACTTCAAAAATTTCTATCACTGACTATTTAATCTTCTAACATTGAAAGAATGTTTGAGGCTGTAATTCAGGGGACACACACACCCCTAAAGAAAAGTTTACCATCAACTATCTATGACAGATTACATTCTTGTGGTGTGTGAAAAGGAACTGCTGTTACTGATAGATTTTTTGTAAGCACCCATGGCACATAAGAGAACAGGGACCCCTGGACAAACTCACAGCCACACTCAGAAATGCGAAGGACAGCTAACAGTTTGAACATAAAGACTACTGGAAATATCAAGAGGAGCGTGCACAGGATGGTCTCATAATTTACAAATCAAGACTTGGAAACTCTTTTCTCCCAGGTGGGCACTAAGGAAAAAATATTATTTAATCTTGGGCAAGTCACTTCCTGTCACTGCGTCTCAGATTCTTACTTTAAAATAAGAACAACAGGAAATGTTTTTTCCATTCTATATCTGTTTGGTTTATTTAAATAATATAGTGCCTGGGGCAAAAAATAATCTTTTATGAGGCTAAATACGTAGTATGTATCAGTATGAGAGACAGGGAAAAAAAATCCAATGATCAAAGTAAACAGTATCACTGCATTTAGATTAGAGCATAAAATATAAGAAACCCAGGATAAAAGTCTGCTTCACACTGGTTTCTGTATTCAACCTGGGAATAACCTTTTCTCTCCATTTAAGTTCCTCTAATAAGCAGGGAGTGTAGTAATTCCATCTTCCCAATGTCCCTCTGAAATACACCATGGACTGTGGTCCTTCCCCACTACCATGGTAACAGGGCAAAAGCAAGGGAAGCTTGAGACACCCTTCAGTGTAACAATCAGATGTGGTCTACAATTTTACACTGTATGAATGCATAAGAAGTCGCTTCATTTTGCCACGGTATTATCAGAAAAGACTGAACCACATGATAAGGACCAGCCTACCACAGGATCCTAAAGGATCTGTCAACCCTCAAGCAGCAGAAGCATAAGCATCCCACATTCATCAAGTCCTCTAGTCACCAGAGATGGTCATGAGTTTTTCAGCTAGGTATTCAAGCACTGAGTTACCACACCTTCCCTATACTTTTTTTTTTTTTTTTTTAACCAAACCAGGGAATTTGCAAGGAAAAAAAAACACAAAACAAAACCACAACAATGAAAGGAATTCTTACTTGTATTAGAAAGTCTAATTTTACTTAGGATTAAAAGCATTCACATAAGTCAACTTTTTTCATTCCTTCTCTGTTTATATACTAATGCTTTTACAGATTTACAGATGAAGGGGGGGGATTTTAAGTTATCAAAACAAAGTGATCAACTGATGTGATCAGACTCTTCCATTCTTACAATTCTGCAGTTCACAAACATATTTCAAGGTTTTAACCTTTGTCCTAAGTCAGGACAGGAAATCGTGGTAAAGATTTTAACACAAAAAGGGTATGAACTTTCCAGTTTTAACATACACTATTAAATTACAAACACTTCACAAGAAAGGGCAATTAAGCCCAAAGGAAGAAGCCATATATAGCTGATGCTTGGCAAACTAGGGAATATAAGCAATCCAACTGAAATGTAAAAAAACCCAGACGAAACAAAAAAAACCCAAACACAACTACAATGAGGCAAAAGATAAAAGAACAGAAGGATAGATGACAGCAGATGGCATGACCTGATTCTCCCTAGTGCCAAAACCACTTTCAGACAAGAAAAACCCCACAAACACAAACCACAAAAAACAGGATTTCTGGGTCTTCAGCTATCTCTTTGGCTTCTAGTCAGCTCCCTCTACAGTCAATTAAGAAAAACTGGCAGCTTTCATACCTCCCAAAATGGATCAATTGCCTCAGCAAGTGCTTATTTCCTCCCCAATTAATGACTAGAAACTTAAAACTAGGCAGGATAAATCTCAGAGTAAGAGACTGAAAGAAGGGTCAGGGTTTAAATGACCCCAGAACTGCAGAAAACTGCAGTGAGGTCCATGGAGGAATCTGATGTGTTAGTACCGAGTATGGCCCTACGTACATCTTATGGGGGTAGGAATGGCATCTGCAGGTTTCATTTAGGTCCCTCACAGCATGCATGGTGATGTGAAGTCCCTCACAATGAGTTTCACAGACAAGAACCTGATTGATGTGGGACTAGCCTGCTCTAGCCAGTAGGAAAATCTAAGGCCATCTTCTAAAAGCAAATATATTGCAACTTACTACCAGAACTTCCTAAACTGAAGCTTGAATTCAACAGTTATTAGACAGTGTTGATTGGTATCACACCGACACAGAAATTTAAGTTGTATACACAAATATATATACACACATATATCATGCCACTGTTGTGATACAAAGGGAATGCAATTAGACAAATCAGAACTTATCCAGAGCAGAGGTACCACTTTAAAATAAAGTGACATTAACAGTTACCCAGTCAATGTTTGAGGTTTATACTTCTTACAGTACAATCTAATGTGTTCAGTTCCTAAAACACAAACCCAGTGAAGCATTTATGCTGCAGGCAGACAGTCTTAAAAGATATGCTACATCATTAAGTATATGTGCTACTAACTAGTTGGGCTATTTCGAGCTTCCTTAATACAGTAATCTACTGAATATCTGATGTATAACATGAATATACCAGGGGCTCCTGGAATGTTTACTGACTTATACAAAGCTCACCTTATTAACACCACCAACCTTAAAGGACCTTTTTTTAAAGAGTGTGAAAATTCTTGTATTACAATATGAATTATTTTCTGTCAACAAAAATAACAAAAGCTAGAGACCTAAATAAATTATAGTTTAACTGTTAGGTATTTAGAAAAAAGCATACCCACCTTTTCATCTAGATTTCCGTTACGGTCAAACTGGTAGAGTGATGCCAGATGAGTAATAATCCACCAGCTAAAACTCAATGGGTCTTTACACTGAATTGTTTCAAAACCAGACACCTTTTCAGAACTACTTGGCCTTTCAAAGACATTCTTGAGAGTATTGTTCACCAAGCTCCAGAAACACTGTAGAAAATGCAAAAGTAAATTTGAACTGTGTTGAATAACAAAGCCTATATTAACAATTTTCTCTACAGTACTGTCCAATTGATTAATTTGCTTTTACAGAGAACAAGCAAGATGACGGTAATTTAAAGAAAATAGCAAAACCAGTATTCAGTATTACCAGAGAAAACCTGGAGCTACTTTAGTGTCCTCTCTCAAATGCCAGTAGAAAACAAAGTGAAAGGACAAACTTTGGTCACAAGGAAGAACATGGTGTGATACTTCACAGGCAAAATTGCAACCTGATGGAAAGATGATGTGCTGACAGGATGGCACACCAACACTCACACGAGAGGGATTAGAGTTCCTTAATGAAGACATTTTATAACAGATTTTTAAAAAAAAATTAGTGCCAGATGAGCCTAACCAAGAGGAATATAGTAGTGGATGGTAGAGAATCAGTCTGAAAGACCGAAAACTGAGGTTCAAATTCCCTGTTTTGTTCCAGCACTGACAAACTGATTAATTCTCTTTGGCTCAGATCCCTGTCTATAGCACAATATTACTACCTCTTACAGCCTGCACCTATCTTCCCTAAATATATAGAAACCCGCTGGGACTTCTTGACACTTGTATTTCACTCACCTTAGCTGAGTCCTGACGTTAACTTGTGCTTCAAAGTGCTACTGCAAACACCTAACACTAATGAATTTTCACCTGTGTTATCCACCTTTATATCTGTTGTCATAAAGAAGTAAACAGCTATCTCTGTACTGTGAAGTACTTCATTCTACACTAAATGAACTGTACTCATTGCACAGATGGCAGCTTTGGTTTTTATAATGATTATTTCAGAAAACTTTCAAAGGATTTTGACACTTCTTAATATTCATTCAGAGAAACACCAGCTCAATTCTAACCAGCAGTCAAAAAAGAAAAATCAAAACACTAGAAAATATTAGCAAAGGAAAAGAACAAAATAGAAAATGTCATTTTGCAATGTATAAAATCATATTGCCACCTAACCTATACTTGGAATACTGCATGCAATCCTGGTATTCTGCCATTTGAAACAGTATGTGGTAGTATGGAAAAAGGTTCAGAGAAGGGTGACAAAGATGCCTACTAGTAGAGAATGGCACCTGTAAAAAGAATGACTGAATACAGTAAGACTCTTCAGCCTAGAAAAGGCAGAACATAGGAGATATCAGAAAAAAAACCCCTAAAACTGAAGAGGCATATACAGTCATATTGCTATAAGCAAGGAGAACAGGTAATGATTTGCTCTTCCAATAAAAGTATAACGGGGCAGCAAAAGAAATCAGCAACTAGAAGAGTCAAAAACAAAACAGGTTATTCTTGTATAGGTAGTTAAGGTATGGGTATCAAAGGCAGAAATGTGGGCTAGATGGATCATTGGTCTGATTCGTACCCATGTTTCTAATGCCTGGAGATGAATCATTGCATGGCATAACACATAAACTGCAAATAATAATAACATTTTTAAAAAAATGGGTAAAGATTGTTTCTTTTCTTTTGTTCTACCATACAACTTCCAGTCTGTTCCTTTGCTTTGCTTGCCTTAGCACAAGGAGCACTCCTTATCAGTGCCCTAGGTCATAACCAAACAGTACACTGCAAACCTAGAGTCAGGACTTGATGCGCATTCAGTACAGCAGCCTAAAGCATCACAGTTAGCATGCAGTCCTTCTAAAGCAAATATAAAGTTTAGTTCTATCATCAGATATGTGAACTAGTGTATTCATGGCAATCTGGGAACATTTGGCAACTATATTGCATATATAACACACATACACATAACAGTATTCTTCCATTACCTCTGTGTGAGACCCTTTATTTCTGTGGTCAAGCAGCTGAATAAGTAGAATCCATAATTCTTTAATGCAGGTACAGGGATAATGGTGACTAGTAAGAGCCTCAGAAGGTCTCACCTGAAAGAGAATATGCAGCACAGTTATTCAGAGAAGTGTTGCTTTTGAAATTGAATTGTATATACCAACAGTTCCTCTGGTTTTCTGGGGTTTTTTGCAGTTAAGTAATATAGCTACAATTACGTATTGGAAAGTACATTTATTTCATCAACATCCAAAATATATCATAAAACAAAGACTGTTTCCTAATTCTACATAAGTTACAGGTTGTACTATTTCTTAGTTTTTTCTGAGCCACTTTCAAACACTATTTAATCAAATGAAAATGGAATACTGAAGCCTAAATGAAAAGGAATTGCAATAAATACTGATTCACCGTCTGACAGTAGCGAAAAGAGAAAATGATTGATTAGATTTTCTTGATGTTCTTGGGAAGATAAGAAAAAGATTTCAAATGATTTAAAAGCTATTATTGTTGTTATTTTTAACTGAAAAATCCTTAATGACTAGGCATAATGCTAGTAGAATATGGTTTGTTGGCATGCGGATGTTAATGTTCCCACAACATTTCACAAAATCTGCTTTTCGGTAAATTTACTGCAAGGCATTCTTTTAATATGCAGAAAACAGCATATTTCAAGTCATGTACGTTATTTGATTACTATTCCATATTTAACAAAATTCACTCAGACTGATGCATTTCAAATGCAAAGCAGTCTTCTTGTAATTCATCTTTCAGTTTTACATTCCCTGAATTGTGAAACAAAATAAGCAAAACAGCAAAAGGAAGTGCTAAATACATAAAAATTCTCTGTACGCTTTAATGTTTTTAAGACCTACCAGCACTGTACTTAAAATAATCATAGCATAGACAAAACTTTACTTACTCTGTCTTAGGACTTATGAATTCACTGAACGGTATTCAGAAGTGGTAAAAACAGTAAGAAAAGCTTTGCTTAAATAGCGTAATTCAGCACATTTTACCTTCAGCAAGGACACAATGGCAGAAATGTAGAAAGAAAACAGGCAAGACAAAGCAGCTCATACTCAATTTATCGCTAAACAATGAGTAGTCCAAGTTTGAATAATCAACCTACACCCCTCTAAAGCAAATAGAGGGGAATGGGCACCTAGAGAGACTAATTCACCTAATTCACTGCAGGAGAAGGAACTGTTCCTATTCTTCCCTGACAATAAAAAGAACCTAGTTTAGCCAGCTAACTCCTAGACACCTAGATCTGACAAGATGAATCCTGAATTTTTGTATCTTCATGCTCTTCCCAATCCATTCATGCACAACTATTCTCAAATCACACTGGTACTTAAAATAATTTCTGAATCTGGAAACCTAATGGTGTAAATTATAAATTAAATCAACATACACAATGCCAGTGACAGCAGTAGCTGTGTGAAAGAGACATTACAGAAGTAGGACTGAATGACTAAAAACCATATTCTCACAATTAGAAGAACAAGTACATCACCAGTAGTTTCAAATCTGTAAAATACATTCTGTAAGGATACAGACTTTTTATTTATCTTCCACCTTTAGAATAATACATTCACAACTACTGTTTTCATAGAGCTCCAAATCAGGTTTAAATACTGAACACTTAATTATAAATATGAATTTAAACATATTTGTAAATGTGACACGTGATTTGTTTTTCTCTCTCTGTGAAGAGCCCTGCTTACCCTATGAAGTTGCCAGGGTAGACCCTGACAATCAATTTAAGAACATCGTGAAGTCAAGACTGAAATATTTAAAATAATTCTATTATTCACATTCCACATACGCTGTTTAGAGTTTTTCATGTGCCTATGCCTCTTCACGCTTTTAGTTAAAGATGTTATGGGAATCTCTCAAGAACCTAAATTAATCTTACATAAATATTATCTTGAGAATAAACATCAGTGTGACCACTAAAGTCTATCGAAAAGTTCATTATTTAACTACTAATTTCCCAAAACTGAAGCGCCTCAAAAATACTCTGGTTATGACTCATCACCAAAGAGCAAAACAGATCCCTCTGAAAGGAGCAGTCTACCTATTACAGATACACTACAACACTGGAGGATTTTATGGAAGTATTAGGTACACAGACTATCTTACAAGTGAGAGTTTCAGGCCTTTTACATGGAGTACCAGTTGTTGCAGCAACTAGGTTTCTTCATCTACTACTTGCATCTACTACTGCGCTCTTCTACAAGATAGCAGGATCTCTTGTGCAGGGGATGTGCAGTATTCGTCCAGGATATAGTTTGGCTAGTAGTATCAAAGCAAGACAGCATACAGAGACTGGTTAGACTAAGGATCACCGAGACAATGTATTCTTCAGAGAGTCTGCATTTCCTCTTGCAACATCCTGAGTTCAGTATCTTCATTATAACCTCAGATTGCGGTACTGTTGGGACAACAGAGCTCTGGTGCCAGAGATGCGCTGCTGAAAATAGACAGAAGATAGCCAAGGAGATCTATTTCTCTGCCAAATTAATATCAGAGCTCAACGGGCTCAGTACATGATCCAAGTCAAGCATCTTGATACCAGAGCTGCCCAAGAAACAGATCTGAAAATACGAGTCTGGAGGATTTAGAGTTTATGTCCCTCCTTCTGAGGATACCCACAAATGTTAAGAGCTGCACTTCTGAATATTCTCAGCCAAAAGCTTAATGACATGTTTTAGTGATGAGCTGACAGTGTCATCTATTATGGGTATCAGTTGTGTTTTCAACAATTTTGAGGGATGTTATTTCCATTACTGGATTATAGCACTGAATGCATACTAGAGGAGGCACCAGCTGAAGAGACGTTATCCAGCTCAAGTGCAAGTTCCACTTCAGAAATGAATCTCAAATAGAACTAGTTCAAGCTGTGTGGCTCAAGTCTAGGGAGAGCTGAAGAAAAAGCCATGGCAAAACAATCTCTCTTTGTAATGTGGCTCTGTGGAAGTAGGATGAATCAGTCATTTTAACATCTGACATTTCAAAGCCTACCATCAAGCACAATGGTCAACAGATACTATTTGAATCTTCCTTTAAAAAAATTACTCTAATCTATATGGCTTTTGACAGAGGAGGAGGTTGCAGTATTATCTGATAACTTAACAGATCAAAACTGGTTTTAAAAGGTAACAGAGTTCTCTACAGAAAGATAGTTTAAAAGAACAGTTATCAAATGCTAGTACAGCCATTCTCCCCCCCCCCCCCAACAGTAACATGAAAGAAGGGGGACTCCATTTTTCATGCCTTTGTACTAGGAAAATATGAATTATACAGTGGTCACTGCTACTTATTCTCAGAGTTCAGTCTGAGAGTGGATCATGCATCACACATGCCCATCTAAAACAGGTTTCACAATTACACAGTCAAAGAAGATTACACAGCTCTTTTACTAGCTGCTATATAGAGCTATTATGACTTCCTAGCTTTGGAGTGATCAAAACAAGTGAGAAAAACACTGCAGCTATAGAAGAAAAGAAAAAGAAAAGAAAAGAGAAGAACAAGTTTTCCCTTGACAAACGTAAAAGTGCTGTAACAGAAAGATGAGGTAGTGGAAATCGGAGCAGCGCAACAATAAACTGTAATATGACATTCTGTAAGTGTCCAGTTAGCTTACTGCCAGGATTACAGTTATTCTCTTTTTGTTCCTGTTGAGAGAGTTTGAAAAGATTTTTTTTTTTTTTTTTTTTTTTTGCATCTACAGCTCTAAACCTTTTAGATTGTGCCATGTTTGGCATTAAACCTGGAACACTGAACTTAGGAAATGTGGCACTCACTTCTGCTCTGTACACAGTGCATTTCAATATTACTCTCTCATTCAAATGCCAGATGGTTATGAATAAATATAACACAATTTGAGCTCCTAACAAATAACACTCTTTAAAACATGGAGATATAAAGCCATACATAACATTTAAAACTTAGCAGTAGGAAGTCATCTATGCATTTGTACAATATCTAATTCATATGGTTCCTAATACAAGCTTCTAACTGCCCATGTCCTATATAAAGAAAAAAAGTTACCTTTATATACTTGTTGATTGATAAGCTTATTAAATCAGATATGAGATTTCCACAGTGTGTTTCAAATAAACTGATACTGGTTAAATTCTCTCCAGTTAGATTTATGAAACGGTTAGCATATACAACTTGTCCTAAAACACAAAAGAAAGTTAGACCTATTTAGCCCTGGGTTTGGCTGTAGGAATACAAGACAGACAGGAAATTTTTTTCCATTCTATATATTTTAGAATTGGTTTGTTGAGCTATATGTAATTTTAATTCACAAACTCATTTGGGAAAGTTCATCCATTTTAAGTTCAAGCTAGTCCCTTAATTATTACACTGAAGACTGGTATTATTCTGGTTGACAGTAAAATAGTTTGGCACTTTACACCCTTTTATTGGCACAGTTTTTGCAGTGGAATGAAGATTTATTTATCTGCAGGTTTCTCTTTGTCACATGCCAGTGCGCATGTTCTGAAATCATGACATGTTTTGCAGATACGCAAGTTGATGACAAACAATTCTGGAGAGGTCTAACACTTCCCTTTGGATGTGTTGATGTAAAAAGCTGGCATGATCACATTCCAACTTGAGCATTTGTAGACATTAACACAGATAAAATGGTAAAGTTAAGAGGCTGCAAGATCTTATCCCACAAGCTTTTCAACAGTACAAGTCCCTTGACATCAGCAGAACAGAAGATACGTGGAGCGAGCCTATATTTTATTCTTGGAAATGCAGGGTGAAGCCCTGAACCCACTATCCTGCCATTGGTCTCAGCAGCGTGAGGTTTCCACTCAGCATGCTTTACAGAATGAAATGAGAACATAAGAAATTCTACAAGGCACATACGAATACAAGACAAGATAATATATGCAGATATACTACTGTCTTGACTAGTAAATTTTGTTGTTAAAAAGTGTGAGCATTCTCTTACAAAAATGGATTACTGCATTATTACTCAGAACTTTATCTAGAAATAAACAGAATTCTGGACAACAAATTGCGTCCAACAGTTTTTCCATCCTTTCTCCAAAAGGCCACAGAAAAGGAAAACAGGTTATCCCACAATGGATAATAAAAGAAACTTAGAATTATAGAACAAGCAGCCAACCCACACGTTATCCAGTAACACAGACATGCAGAAACAGTGAAGATGCATTAAGCTGAGTAAGGCTGTGTTGTGACAGCACTCAGAGCAGGCGAAAACTAATCCACAAGTTCAGATTCAGTACCAGTTACCTGGGCTAAACATACAGTGCATTCTTTCTAGACCTCAACGTTACTCCAACTGTTGCAATTCCTATATGAAACTTACACTGATAATTTATAATAAGGGGGGGTGGGTAGGGGTGGGCAGGAGGTTTGGTTGTAGTGACACAATGATTAAAGAAGAAAATACATTTTTGTGACTTATTTTTCTAGCATGGACACGAGCAATAGATATAATTCTCACAAAGCAAATAACGTTCTCTTCCGTATTTTAACAATTTTTCTTCAGCAAACTGAATACTTTGAAGTTGGGTTCTTCAGTTGCATTCTATGACCTTTTTTATATAGCTTCTATGAACAGCTTACTCTTTATCAATCTACTTTTTGCCCTTTTAAAGCCTTTAAAAAAGAAAAAAGGTATTGCCTTGCCCTTTTCTTGCTGTATTTTTACAAGCTCCTCTGACTGAGGCTTCTTCTTTTGCCCAGTATTTTCTTAGCGTCGCATACAATTAACAATACAAATTCTCTGAGATTCTTTGTTCTGGTCCATCCTTAGACACTTTTCCCACATTGCTTTCATAAAATTGCTGTTCATTCTTACTCATTGTGGATCTCTGAAAATGCATTTTTATTTGCTATGTCAAAAAGTGCATTGTTATTTAATATTTAGTATGTTGTAAGCATCAGTCGAGAACAAACTTCATAATCTTGGTCAAGTTTTGATAGAATAAATTCCTATTTAATTTTATCTGAATTTTATGAAGATTCGCAAAGAACCTGTCTTCACCATATTTGAGTTTACCTCATTAAATATAGCTACGCTTAAAAACTACCAAAAAGCAGTAAATTATTTTGGACAAATTAAGATGAGAAATCTAGGTAAGTCATAGCTACAAGAATAAGTTCAAGAAAAAAACCTGCATACTTACTCATCATTTTTTCACCTAGTACATGAAGAATTTCCAATACTAGCCAATTAATATCCAAGTGGAGGTGTAGTAAATGCCATGATGGGGGAAAGACCTGTGATTAGGAATACACATTTGTTTATTTTTAACATTTCTTTAGTGAATTCTGGATACTGTACTAATACACATGAAGATGGGCATACATTTTGCCCACAGTGAACATTATGGATACCTATGATTAAATACACTGTAACATACAAACATGCCATTCAGTTAAAGAAAAGAAAGAAAAACAAAAAACATCATGACAATTAATTCTGTCGAGGATGTTTGTGAAATACTTAATCTGATCTAAACTACAATTTAAACACAACGTCTTGATTCAAACTTCACAGATTACAACACCCTTAGTTATCCTTTCCTTTCCAGAGAAGTATTAGCACACAAACTGCTAAAGTAAAGCATGTCCTTAAAATATTTCCAAAATTTTCATTATTTTCTTCCTTAAAGTTTACTTGAAATTACCATTTCTTTCATCAGCTCAACAGTGGCTCTACTGACAAGCTAAACAAACATGCTAAAAAAATGCTGCTCCTAAGTGGATCATTCCTCTCCAGATACTAGTTTATACAAACTGACTGAAATTCCTTCTTTCTGTCTAAAATATTTGAAAGCATTTATTATTATATATATGCACAAATCTTAATGGTTTATACTTCACTAATGTTTAATGTTGCAGCACTTACTTCCATGTCTGCACTTTCCTTCTTTATATACATGATCTTTTCCTACTTTGAGTCAGATTTCAGAATATATTTTTTAAAAAGTGCCCCTCCTACTGGGAAGCTCAGAAATTTTAACCATTAGTAAGGACAAACACTGAGGAATTTTTTTAAACGTGTTACACTAAGTCAAGCCTACTTATCTAACTATAATTGGTATTATTATTTGTATAGTGCAGGAAGAATTTTAAAAGCTATAAAGCATAAAAATAAATAGATAAATAAAAACAACAACAGAAAATCCAGAGCTCAGTAGTTGTGTTTGCCCAGTAGGGGATGGCACTTAGTTATTAAAGGGGGGGAAAAAAACCAAAATATAAAGTGTAACTTCAATTTCAGCCTGAAGAAGGATTAATTCTTGTTCAGCCAAAAATTATCAAGTTGAATATGTACTGTTACACACACACACACACAAATAAATATAAAAACCATCAACCTTTGCCTGATGTTGAATAGTAAACGCTGCCAGGACACTACTAGGGAGTTCATAAATGTGACCAATATGCATGGTCAAAGCATGAAGCTCTTCCACCAACATTGATGGTAACTGCGCTTCTAGTTCTTCATATGGATGGAGCATTTCATCATTTTCCACTCTAGGGGGTTCCACATACCTGAACACACATACATAGACACACAATCAGAAAATGGATAAAAAGCAGCTACACAAAGCTCAGTATGTAAGTTAGTAAATTGCGTGCAAATCTCACCTGAAGATGAAAACTTTCACATAATGCAAAAACTCAATACATTGATGCCTGATGCTCTCTGCTTCAGAGTGCAAGTTTGCAGCTTGACCTGAAGTAAAAGAGATCGATAGCTTAATGCAGATGTGCCCACACTGCAACTCATGTAACATATGCATTATCCACAGCAATTAAATCAGACCACTGAAAAGCCACCCTCTTTTCTGAGGAATGCGGCTGGCAGCAAACACCCACTTCTAATTGTCATCTTGCCAGAGGGATCCATTCTCCATCTTATCATCTCAGGTGCATATCCAGATACAGAGGGAAAAGAAGGCATCCAGTCCCTCAGGCAAGGTGGCAGAGGCAAGCGATCAGTGCTAGAAGAAATCATTCAGCCCTACTGCCCTGCTCCCTGTCCGCGTCCAAGACACCTTCAGAAAAGACACGTATGAAAATTTCCTAGCATCCCCTTTTCTCTTGGGGGACTTAAGCAAGTGGACTTATTTGGAAACATGCTTTGTAACTTCTCTTCCTAGGAAGCATCACATTGTTGCACAGTGCCTTAAAATGTGTAATCCCAAGAGCCATCCATTCACAATCCTGCGGCCTGCCTTTCACTTGCAGCTCTGTGTCCTTTCAGCCAGTTACTGCGGCTATGCGCCTCCTTTCCTTTGCTCTCTGAAGCTGTTGTTCTCATGGTGTTACTCTCCTTATCTTGCACCTGCAAGCTCAAACCATTGTTACAGCAGAGATTCACCGGAAGCTATTGCCACTGGTGTGAGAATCACTATTTATTCTCACACCTTGCCTTGTAGCTTTCAGCTTATATTAGAGAAAGATGAAACTTAACGTGTGTTAGCAAAGCAGATAGTAATTTAAATACCCAATAACTACTGCCCAATAATATATATATACACAAATGCTTAGCAACCAGTCAGCCTGCAACACTTGTACCTGATTAAGCACTTGCCAATCATTGTTAAGAGCATCATAAATGCGAACAGCAAACAAGGAGTTTGAGCAGGCCCCAATGTAAGTATATTGCGCCAGAGGAGATGAGTGGCAAAACCTCTATACAGCTTGACCTGAAGTAAAAGAGATCACTACTACGCTGGACTGCATGTCCAGGGAAAGGCAGTTGCCTTGACAAGAGGAAATGGCCTCAGTTTGCACCAGGGCAAGTTTAGGTTGGACATTAGGAAAATTTTTTTCACTGAAAGGGTCGTCAAGCATTGGAACGGGCTGCCCAGAGGTGGTCGAGCCCCCATGCCTAGAGATATTTAAAAGTCAAGTAGACAAGGTGCTTAGGGACATGGTTTAGTGGTGGGATGGCAGGGTTAGGTTAACATTTGGGCTCGATGATCTTGCAAGTCTTTTCCAATCTAAACGATTCTATGATTCTTTGCTCCTCTCCCCAGCTGGCCACTGGGAAGTCTTCCTTTCCCTTTTTTGCTCTCTCTCTTCCCTTTGTTTTGCCCATACTTTGAAGTTCACGTATGCCTCTTATTATGGAACCCACAAATAAAGTTTTGTGCATGTAAGCCTATCTCAACATCTTTTGAGCAACAACACTCACCGAGTGAAGCAAATCAACTGGTACAAGTACCATACTATTCCAGTGTACAGCCTATCCCCACCACATAAGAAGCCACAGGATCTGCTATGGTAATGAACCATAGGTTTAGAGGCTCAAATCACTCTGTCCTAAAGGAATTATTTACAGATATTACTGCTGCTTTGTAGCAATTATAAATATTTTATCTTAAGTTCTCGGACATGCTGTTTAAGCAAAATTTTACATTACAGTATTTCACTACAAAATCTTTTGCATACTGTCATAAATCATTGATCAATTAAATAAGTGGAACAAAACTGGAACATCAGAGTGTTAAGGGCAGATCAGGCATTTTCAAAAAAAAAGACAAAACAACAGAGCATAAGAAAAGATTTTATATGGTTTCCACATCACACATTTCTCAGCACCAAGTCTCCAAAGCTCATTAAGACTGACAGGATATTAAGTGAAATGTATGATATTGATATCTGTATAAACACATACACACAACAAAGATTTACTGAGCTAAAACTCTAAACTGGCGTTTTAAACAGTGGCAATGGGGCATGTACCTAAGACATCAGTAATACCTAACATCACACTGCCTTGATCATTTTAAATATTTTAACCCTCATGACACTCCTCCACTACTAGCCTGCTTGTATCAAGAGGGAACCGAGTCACAGATGTTTCAATGACTTGCTCCAAGTCACAAAAAAAGCCTGGTGCAAAGCATGAAATTCAACAGTTTTTTATTTTTCTAGCGTATTTGACAAGAGGAAGAATAGGATACAGAGAAGAGAACAAAGCAGATGCTTAAATTTAAGGGAAAAAGAACTACAGGACAGTTTCTTGGTGTCCAGCTACCATATAGAAGTTCAAATGCAATTTAAAATAAGGCTATTTCCACTTATGTATTAAACGTCAGCAAACTTAAGACTTTTAAGATACAATCAACAAAACTATATGAAAGAAGCTCGATGATAAATTCATACCAATGATTTAAATGGCAGAGCATGACAATATCAAACCAAAATAATAATCAAGTGTAAAAATAGTCACTTGTACTCCTAGAACACTAACAATTTATCTGTAATGAGAAGAACCTACAGTTTATTTCTGAATAATTACTGAACTTCTCAACTTGCTAAGTAATTCAGCCTTCAAACTTACAATAAGCCCAAGGCTCCAATAATCCTTCAGAAACGTACTGCTTCTCATGCCTTAGTATTTAATTGAAACAAAGCATTTTGTAGTGATCCCATTTTATTGATCCTGTGGCAAAGATACATTAAGTTTGTAAATAACTCTAAAGTAATCAAATACAACTAACTTGTTTAAATGTAAGCCAAGAGAACACTGAAAAATGTTGCAACTCTCTATCTTTGTAACTAAAATAGTTACTGGGAGTTTTGATGTAACTTTACATTTTTAGTTAAACAAGCTAATAGTTTTGCCAAATTCTACCTTAGGGTTGACATCTTAGCTCAAGTCAAATTAATGCAAAATTCCACGCTAAGGTCAGTAAGGTCAGACTTGCCCTGCTCACCTATGACACAGGCAGATCTGGTTCCAAACTAACACACATTTCCACTATTTTCACACTATCTTACATCACCTGCTTGCCTACACTTGTACCCTTTCTGCAGGTTTATGCTGGTTATATGCTGTTCTCCAAGGGCACACTCCACGAGCCCTTGGTCAAGAGTCAAAGCACAAGTGTGATCTGTGATAATATACTTCTATAATGAAAAGGTAGTCAGATACCTATACCAATGTCAAATTAAATGTGTTAAACTTACCAAAATCAGATGAACTCATTTGTACTAGGTTTTCCAGTCTGTATATCTGTTGCCTAATTAAGGGAATACAAAGGTTTATGGTATTTATATAGGTAAGAGTACTTTAACTACATTTCAGTAAGGTCTAAATAGAACAGAGAGAGGCGAGAGGTGTTCCTTGCTTTGTATTTCTGAAAAAGGTTACAGAAATGTAACTTAGGAAAGAGTGAAGGCAACAGACACATCCAAGTATGAAGGGTTGACAACGGATACAATTTTTGCTTGTTTTTAAAAACGTTAGACACATTAACAACAAATACAGAATTAGCTAAGTATCGGGGGAGGAAAAAAAACCAACCACACACACAAAAACCCTGAAAGCCATTCGCTGTCAGTGATCTTTCCATAAGCCTAAGTCAACTTCATATTTGACCACAGAATAAACCTGCAAGTTAGTCCTCATGACATATGCTCAGTGTACACTCAGTTAATTCACTTGTGAATGAGCACTAGTAAATTCTGCCAGCAGCTTTTCCTGCTTAGGGTGGTTTCTTGCTTAACTTGAGCACAAAAGATAAACAGCAAAAAATACAGTAGAGTAAAAGGAGAAAGTGTCTCTAGAACAGTTAAAATTCAGTTCAGTTTCAGAGGGGAGGGATAGCGGCTTTGAAAATGTTATTAACTGCCACTGCAAATGAAAAATAAAAAAAGTGGTAACATAGGTAAGCACTCAGCCATATTCTGCAACAACTGTTATTTTCAAGTGGTCTCAAGTATAGTCTCCACAGAGATAACATGGTAATAAACTGAATGCAGGAAAAGCGCAACTGTTAGACAGACTTTTGAAAGAAAATGTTGCATAAATTGAGGAAGGAGCTCTCTGCCTCATTTCTTATACAGTCAAAGCAGCAACTACTGAAGATTCAAAAACAGGATACTTGGATCCAACCCAGATAAATATTCTTATAAAAAAAAAAATAATTGAAAACTAGGAAGTGCCCACAAGGATTCAAAAACCCAGGTTGTAATCTCCATATTAAAGGGCAGGCACCCATTAAAATTACCTTAGCTCTTCCTTTCTTGGATAAAATCATGTCAGCACCCAAGATTACCTTCAGCCATTCAGGTAGATTTTGGGTGGGTTTTGTTTATTTTGAAATCAAAGCTGAATTCCTGCATTAATTTCTCAAGTATTTCAACCATGTAGAGAGGAAGGAAGTCTAAAGCAGGAGGACTTTACGAAAGAGGGCTGCTGAGGCTGGAGGTTAGAGAGACAGAGAGAGTGTCAGAAAGGAGCCACACAGAAAAAAAAACCAAGCCAAAACAAGACTCTCTACTGAATTGACAAAAGACAGAGTACAGCAGGCTGACAAAATAAAAGCACAAATTGGGCACGAGAAGCATAACAGAGATCATCAGTTAAATGAGTCATTTTAATTTCAATTTGCATTTGTACCTCAAAGATTGATCCTCTAGGTTGCTAATCATTAAATCCTTTGATTCGCAAATAAATATTCTGACAGTTAAACTGGTACTTCTGTTTATTAATCAAAGATATATTGGCAATATACCCACTTAAATGGTTACATAGCTCTTACTTTGACTCACATATTCAATCACATAAAAAAAAAAATCACAGGTAAGAATTCTTTTTACTGTGCAAATAATGTTTTTAATGTGCCATTCTGCTATATAATATTATTATTTAATACAATATTTTAAAAAATTAAGTAACAGTTTAATATTTACAGACACATTAAAAAATACAAAGTTTCTGCAAGCGTGCATTTAAACATAAATACTACCCGTACTTAATAAATTGAACTATTTATAGCCACCTTGTCCTCAAGAATCATTATAACTTGTACTTAACACATACAATTTCTACAATGGAAAAAGGAGTTTTCATACTTTCAGTTGTTGACTGGTCTATAAATGAAAGTGTTCCATTTTATGACTGAACAAATGAACTGAAAGAGAGGATAACTTTGCAAAGGGACTTGTCATACAAGAAGACAGTTTAGCAACCAAACTCTCATAGCCAAGAGTTAGCTGAAATCCATTATTTCTACCAATTTAGGACGTTTTAAAACATGTATAGCTTGAATAACTTAAAAACCACAATAAAATATATTATGCCTTATGTTCATCTCTATTATAATGACAGAGCAGTTTATATTACAGGAAAAATGTATTTAATTCAAAAGATCAACTACATCACTGTCTCACTGCCCAGTGATTGTATGTCAATAAACAAATGAGACTAAATGCTAAGAGGGATACAGTGTTTCTTTTAAGTAAGTTATCCTCTGATCTCCTTCATTATCAGATTTTTGAATTATTTTTTTTTAAATCACAGTAAAGTCAAAGGTTGCATCAAACAAGCAAAGCTAAATAATACTGGTTTTGCCATATGTCCTGCTGTCTATGCCATCATGTTTCAGTAAGACAGACGCTATTAATGGTATTTCACATCGTGCCCCTGGTCATACCCTAAAGGGATGGAAGAATCTACTACAATCAAAGGAATGATGGAATATATCACAAAGATTTGTGAAATCATACAAAAGCTCCTCTCCCATCCACTCTCTGTATGTGCTGTACATCCTGAGGATTATCGGTAGCAAAGAGGATTATTGGTGATCTGTGTATTTGCATTGACCAGATTAAACATCTACATTGAATTAGTCAAACACTGGGTAACTGTATCTGAAGAGATTGCTGAATCTATCCTAATCCAAACAATTGAAGAAAGTGCTGCATCCAGCATTTACTGTATTTGATTTCTAACCTCCACTTTTCTTTATGCACAAAAAAAGGACTTAAAAAAAAATCTTCAAAAGACAACTTGAATTATGGGGGTAGCACAATCTCATTCAAGGAAATCATATATAGTTTATTCACATATTCCGAAGCTAGAGCCTTTAAATTAATCACAACACCGTTGTAATAACTATGCTTATCAATTTTTATCTGGTGATAGTTAAGATATGCACCACACTGCTTAGAATCTTAATAAATCCCATAATATTAAAAATCTGTGACACAAAATTTACTTCTTCCCGTAATTCCATCTGTGTCTTATTGATCACTTACTGGAGTGTTCGATAGACAGCATAATCTTTTTGGATGCACTTACTTACATCCTTAAGGTAAGCATAATTATAGAAGTGGATTAATTATAAGATACACTAACATTATCATACCTAAGTAATCCAAAGAGAATTCCACAGGATTCAACTAACGCCATTTCAGTAACCCACTGAAAGCCAAACATTTCCACTACATCATCTTCATAGTCATTTGGAGAAGGATCTAGTCTCAGCAAAGCCCTGTAAAATAAAGCCAACAATACTCATACATTTTCCAGTAATAAACCTATAGAATACAATATCTACAGCTAGCTTATGTATCACTGATATTTTATCAATACATCAGCAACATGTATATTATAGATAGGAAGGTGTAGCAGTGCTCTCAAAAGACAGACTTGTTATACCATTTACAGCAAGATAATGTATAGTACATAAAATGCGACAACTCCTAGCTTCAAAAGCATAAAAACGTGATATAGTCACAGGGCACAGTATATTTTAGAAACAAATAAAAATTAACAAGCTACCACCTTGAAACATCTTCATCCTGACAAAGGGGCTGAGACATAACCTACAGACTGTCCTTAAGAGGCTGCTGTGTTAGATAACATGTAAGTGTATGTTTGGAATCTGTCTTGATGTACACTACATGCCTAATAACTAATGCTAGAACATACATTTTCTCCTTTATATACATTTAATAATATTTATATCAAAAACATTGATAAAAGCCCATTAATAAAAGCACACTTTTCAGTAGGTGAACTGATGAGCATCACAAAATGCAACTTTATTATTGTAACTTGAACTAACACTAGGCCATGGCTACCCTTTGCTCTGGCTAAAGGAAAAAAAAAAACCCAGAATCAGAATTATCATTTTACTCAAAAGTGGAGAAAGCCAGACATCCGTATAGATTGTTAAAACATTATTAATTGTGCAAATATTAAAATATTTCACTAATGTGCTTTCCAATACAAAACAAAAAAATCACAGCAAGCTGTATAATAATAACAACAAAGGCACCAAACGAAATTATTTTACAGTTGTCCCACTGACTTTCACAAAATATTTCACTGCAGATGAAGCTGAATTCACTAAGATGCAAGAAATATTTCTGTTTCTAAAAATAAAAGAATGCACTGGGCAAGCACTTGGTTTTCATTTTATTACACACCAATTTCATATTCTTCTTCAGCTATGCTCTATTACCAATTCAGTTCTCAGAGGCTGCTGAATAATCAGCTCAATGTCCCACAACACCAATAGTTTGCTTTGTAGCTGCCTAAACATTGGTTTGTTTGGAAGCCTGTAGCAATTAAATCCAGTTTCTCCTGTTCTAGATAATAAAGACAGAGGAGTCCATCACATGCAGGCTTTTCTAAGAATTTACCATCCAAGTGGACAAGGTGAATAAATGACAGAACAGTATTATCATGACTGTTGTGATCTGGGAAACCTGTCTACATACAGGCTCCTGAGCAAGTTTTCACATGAAATTGTTTCTGTCATTAAATGCTTCTTTCTCAGTGCGGAATCCACTACAGAGATGTCCATGTAGACACAAGCTCTCTTAATCCTCTACCTGACATCAGTTTGAATGAATGTGTTCTGATCCAACAAAAAAAAAAAAAACAAAAAAAACCACCCAAACAAACAAACCAAAAAAAGATAAATAAGGTAGGGAATAGGGGAGGTACAGCAGAACCGCAAAGTAAAAACAAAAAATATGAGGCTTGGCAGGAGGAATGCACAAATAAGTATACAAGTTCAAAGGTATAAAGAAAGCACTGAGAAAGACAGACAGACAGGAAGATGATGCTTTGGTAGGGAAAACCAGACAACCCCTGCAGGACGAGCAAATGGCACCGAAAACGAAGCTGGATCACAGACAGTAAAGAAGACATTAACTAAACCTAAGTAACATTTTACAATCTCATGGAAAATACTTACTTGTTATGCATGTGACTTCTTAAATCCAGAATGCACGCAATGATAGAGCTTTAAGAAAGATGGTTTTAAAACTACAAAGGATAGTCCCAGTGATCTGGGGAAGCTGGGCAAAGGAGGTTTGTTTCTGTCATGTGGAAAAGAGAGAAAGGGCCATCAAATAGAGCATACAGCTGGAAAAAGCCACGTTGCGACCTCCTCAGAAATTTCAGGGGTCTGGGATGCTGCTGCCCAACAGGACAGTTTTGAAGCGTCCTAACAGGCCTGTAACAGGTCCTTTACAACATCTTAAGGTAAGTTCACAAAGCTAAGCACTGGATCTAGAATGCTGTTCAAAGCAGTGTATCAACACAAATGCTCTTCCTGCTTTGGTATACCTCCAAACTGACCTCAGGATCTTATGAGCCAAAGAACGAACTGATTCGGAAACCCTGTCAGCATTTAGAGACTCCAAACACCAGTGGAAAGAACATCAGAGAAGGGTATTATATTTGTAACTCAAAAAAAACCCCATACCTCTTAAGAGATCCACTTGCTAAATAAGACTCTGCAGAGAAGCTTCTCCCTCCATTTTGGTTGTCAAAAGCACAGGAAAAACAAGGCGGCTTTGAGTTCTCATTCTCCACTTCCATTGCCATCTCCAAGCTTTCCGTGAGAAACGGGGGTGTGGAGGAAGCCACAAAGTCATCATCCATTTTTTTCACCTGATCCAGAAAATAAATAGATAAATTAAAAAACACTCATAGTGTTTCTTCAAATAATTTTCTCATTGTTACAACTCCCCATAATCCTTCAGCTCAAGTGAGGACACAGATCTGACTAACTGTAATGCCAAACTAACAAAGAGAGAGATACCACCAAGAAAGGCCATCATGGTCTCATGCCCTGCCACACAATTCTGCCGCTCTGTGCGACTTCATCTTCCTCCATCACAACTTGTTCAGGGAATCACATCAGTGAAAAACTAACCCTACAGAAACCAAAATAGGTTCGTTATCTTCTGGTTTAGCTCTCTAAATTGACTAGTTGTGAGGTTAGACTAACACAAGGGTAAAACAAAAGGAATAACAGGCCACGGGGGAGCCGCTGTAGGCAACACTTCATTTTGCAACCAGCATAGCTATGCTATGAAAATACATCATGCATCACAGGCTCCCAGTTGTCCATGACTCTAAGGCAATATTACAGCTCAAGTTCCCTCTAAGAAGCAGTAAATACACCCCACATGATAACTATGGAACCCTGAAATGCTAAAGTTTTAAGCTCAGAATATGGTTCTGACATAGCTCAAGTTGGATGTTTCTATTAAAAAGGTCTGACTTCCCAGGAATCTAGAAACAAAACAAAACCAAAAAAAAAAAAAAAAGAGAGAGAGAAGCAAAAGCAAAAGAGGAAGGATGATCATGTCCAAACAAAGCTCACTGGATACTTAACACTAGTGAATTAATACCTTATACAACATACTGAAAGAGCAGAACTAGGCAACAGGTGTCACAGCATTTGACATTAATATGCAAACAATATAATTAAAATTATCAACTCTAAATTAAGTTTTCAATTTCATTGCTGCCAGCTTTTGATACTGTTCTTGCAGAAACCAGTTTGCAGCATGGCTAGAGGCTGGTAATACAGAGGCTCGACTGAGAAATGAGCTCAAGGGAAAAAAAAAAAAAAAGGAAAGTTTCCGTCCTACTTTCACCCATTCATTCACATTCCTGCGGTGCAGCCGGCTGTGCAGCGGAAACAGTGGCAACTCCCAAGCACACCCGGCAAGACAGAAATAAGCAGCTGAAGGGAATGCCCTAAATCAGAAGAGTTTCTAAGGGAAGTCTGTTCAATTTGGGGTACCAAAATCGCCCCACACGGCAGAAAGCACTGGGGAAAAAGTACAAAAAGGGCAGCTCTTCAACGGCCGCAACTCACGTCAGCTCTGTACTCGCCCATCGCACCCCGGACCCCGCGGAGCCAGTT